AAGCTGGAAATGTGACCCAGAGCTGGAGCACATGCCAGCGCTGGGGAGGGGGGAGGGCAGAGCAGGGTTTGGGGTGGAGCCCGCAGGAGCGGCTCCAGTGCCTGGCGCCCTGCACCCCTCCTGCCTGGGCTGAGGATGCCCAACGAGGCTGTGGCCCCCCATGTTCGCCCACCCAAGGGCAAGGGACCAAGAGAGAGCCCTCAGGATGCCCGGTGCTGGAGGGGGCTGTTGGCACCGACTCACAGGGGGCTGAGGGCACAGAGCCCATGAGGTTACGACGCCCTCATGCCACAGATGGGCAGCTGGAGGCTCAGAGAGCGCGTGCCTGCAGAACTGCAGGAGCCTCTTTGGTGTCGGCTGCAGCCGGGCTGCTGGGCTTGGAGGTAGCTCACTGCCCACCCTGGAAGCCCAGTGCCTAAGGTCAGAGGCCTCCTGACCCCCACCAAGGTGTGCCTGGGGAGGACCCTGGTATGGGGCCAGGCTGCCAGTCCACGCGGGAGGAACAGGGCTGCAAGCAGGGCCTTTGAGCAGCTTGCCCACGGAGCCACAGCTGAGAAAACGGAGGCTGAGAGAGGCAGAGGCAGCCCCGAGCCACTCAGCCTACTGGCCTCAGGTGCTAGGTACCCCATTCTGCGGTAGGGGCCTACCCACCACTCACCCCGGTGATGGGCCTGCCAGCTGTTAGGCAGAGCCTGGAGGTGATGCCAGGGGCCTCGAGTGCAGCCTGAGCCCTGGATGTAGGGGGAAGACACCTCCGGATACCAGTGTCCCACCCGCCGTGGAGCAGAGGCATGGTGGGCCTGGACGCCAGGCCTCCCAGCCTACCTGGCGCCTAACTGGCTGGCTGCGCTGGACGGAAGAAGTGGAATCGCCTGCAGCGGGTGGAGCGGGGGCACTTGAACCCGGGGCTGCTGTGCCCCTTGGTTCCCCGGAGGCGCAGCGCTCAGCGGGGCAGGATCCTTCAGAACCTGGGCTTTGTCGCCCCCTCGTGGCCGGGGCCGGAATCGGCGGCGTCGGATAAATAGCGGGAAACTGAGGGGTGCGCTTGCGGGGTGGAGTCCGGTTGAATGGGACTCCCGAGGAACTGAAGACCGGGCTCTGGGACGCCCCTCGCTCGAGCCCGGGTCTCCAGACCCGGGTAACAGCAGAGGCATTTTTAGGCCCGGGTCGGGGAGACGGGCGGACCCCCACTTCTGCAGGTGCAGGGAGCAGAAGAGCCGGCCGGCCTGGGGGTGGGGGCAGACTCGGTGAGAGTCTGTGCCAGCAGCTTTGCTATTTTATTTATTTATTTAGTTAGTTAATTTTGTTTTATTTATTTTATTTTATATTTTTATTATTTTATCTTTTGTTTTATTTTATTATTTTTATTTTGTCTTATTTATTATATTTTATATTTTTAATTTAATTTTTATTTTTTATTTAATTTAAGTTTTTATATTTTATATTATTTATATTATTTTATTTTATTTTATTTTAGTGTGAGCCCTGCTTCCTGTTGGATTCCAGGGGCAGATTCCTGCCGCTGCTGCCGGGCCTCAGTTTCCCCATCTGCAGAGTGAGAGGCCCTAGCGCGTAGGAAGGAGCATGGGGGGGCGTGGCCGCTCACGAGGGAGGGGTGTCACTCCTCGGACTGGCCACAGGCCACACAGTCCCCGAGCAGCTGGCGGCCCGCCCCCCCCCCCCCCGCCTTCCTGGCCCGCCCAGGGCTGGAGAGTCCGTGGCGGTCCTTTCAACACGTCCCCGGCTGGGCAGGGGGGGCTGGACAGGCTCAGGCCGCATCCCAGGCTGCGCCCGCTGGATCTAGAAATCTGAGAAAGACCAGCTCCCCGTCCAGCAGGGGGGTTGCAGGCAGGTGGACGGGCACAGGCCTGACCTTGCGGAGTCTCAGGGACTCCTCTGCGCAGGAGGCTGAGGCTCCCACTGTGGGTTGAGAGGTGAACAGCCCTGTGTCCACAAACACAGCCATGACTTTCAGGGACTCAAGTTACTGTTTGCCGAAGAGAAACTTCCCAGCCTGAGGATGATGAAGGGAAAACCCACCCACCAGGGGGACCGAGCCAGCACGGGGCCCAGGGGGCACCTCGGGGAGGGCCGGCCCGCATGTCCATAGCAGCGATGGGGGCCGGGGGGACATAGGGGTCCTGGACGCAGAATGCTAAACCCGGTTCTGAATTTGGCATTTAACTTCCCATGATCACTCTCTAGTTTTTGCTACATATGTATAAGTGCCTACCCAACGTGAGACATAAGTGTGGTTTGGGATGTTTCCTAGCTTCATACCAAGGCGTTATGGTCCATGACATTTTCTACATCTTTAGTCACACAGCATTATGGTCTACCCGTGTCCATGTGGCTCCTCTCCTTCACTGCTTCCCCCCAGAGCGGCCTTCCGATGGATAGTCACCATCTATTTCTCTGTTTTCTTGAATATTGACATTTGGGGTGTTTTCTAATAGAAACAATGTTGCCCTTGTGAACAGAAGACATTTCCTGAGCATGGGATTCAGTGTTTCTCTGAGGCAAATGGGGGAGGACCAGATCCGGCCAATGGATTCTCCAGTCACTGAACCAATTTATATTTTCATTTTCAATCGTAAGAGCATCCCAGCTGGCCGAAACCAGTTTGGCTCAGTGGATAGAGTGTCAGCCTGCGGACTCAAGGGTTCCGGTCAAGGGCATGTCCCTTGCTTGCGGGCACATCCCCAGTAGGGGTGTGCAGGAGGCAGCTGATCGATGATTCTCTCTCATCGACGTTTCTAGCTCTCTATCCCTCTCCCTTCCTCTCTGTAAAAAGATCAATTAAAAAAAAAATTTTTTTTTTTTTTTAAAAAAGAGCCTCCCAGCTGCTTCTTCCCACCTCAGTGTGTTACCAGAGTCACACTGCCAGCCCACTGAGGGCGGAACAGCCCACTGTTGTGGATTCCATTTGCATTTCCTGATTGCTAATAACAAGGAGCATCTTTTATTCCTTGTTGTTGGTTGCCACATCAGTTTCCTCTTCTGTAAACACCCTGTTCACAGCTTTTGCCCGTTTCTTTTCTTTATTGTAGGAATTCTTTATGTTTTTTAGCTTTTATCTCGCTCTCTTTTTCAAGAAGTTATTTCAGAGGGAAAGGGAGAGGGAGAGAGAGAATCATAGGCGCACTGACCAGGGGGTCGAACTGAAACCTGGGTGTGTGCCCGGACCTGGAATCGAACCCTTGACCCTTCAGTGCACGGGGGTGAGGCTCCACATAGCGGAGCTGCACCATCCAGGGGCACTAGCTGGTAGCTTTTAGCTTCACCTTTTTCTGGTGACACAGAGTTTTAAATTTTTTTTTTTTTAAATCCTCACTCGAAAAGATGTTTTTCATTGATTCTCAGAGGGAGAACCCCCTCGCTTCTCCCTCTCCCCATCCTGCATGGGCCCTGACTGGGCCAGGGATCGAACCTGCAGCTGAAGTGCATGCTCTTGACTGGAAATCCAACCTGAGACCCTTTGGCCCTTGGGCAGATGCTCTAATCACAAAGCCAAACCAGCCAGGGCGATAGTTTTAATTTTAGTGATATTAAACCTTTATAGGGAATCCATGAGGTTTGTCCTTATGTATCCTGAAGTTATAAAGGTGTCTTTACTTTCTTCTAAAATGTTTAAACTTTGCTTTTCTTGCAGGAGATTTTTGTGTCCCTGGAATGATTTTCTTTTGTATGGGATGAGGCAGGGATCCATTTTCACTCCCCCCTCCTCCCCCCCCCCCCCCCGCCACTACCAGTTGTTAGCTCATTGTTTCTCCACTAATTCTTATTTTAAAAATACAATTTTATTGATTTTGGAGAGAGAAAAACATCAATAATGAGAGAATCATTGATCAGCTGCCTCCTGCACTCCCTCCTGGGGATCCAGCCTGAAACCCCAGGCCTGTGACCTCCTGGTTCATAGGTTGACACTCAACCACTGAGCCAGCCCAGCCCGGCTCTCCATGAATTGAGAAAGAACACACCATAGTTGCGTTGAAACAATACATCTACCTAAATAAGATATTCGCAACTGAAACCAGCCACGTGTTCCCACAACATTATGAGCAAGCTGTGTTGACCCCAAGAATTCAAGGATAGTTTGCCCTCAGACACTACGGATGTCATTGAGCTCATAAAGAAAACCCTTCAGGTCCAGGATCAGCACCGGCTAACTTTTAACCGGCATGCTTTTTAAGATTCAAGAGTCAAACATGAGCCCCGGACACGCTGCGGGATCCGTTGGGCTGTGTGTCCAGGGTACGCCGCCCCAGGCTTTGCTGACTTCCTAAGGTTACTGTGCCGGCTGCGTTTCCATGGCCACGGGGAGTATCTTTGGAAAGTCTGGTTAAGGCTTGGCCTTATTCCATGCTGGGCCTAAGGAGAGAAAAGATTAATCCAGGCAGCGAACCCTGTGGTTCCAGACCTCGGGGCGCGCCGGGACCAGGGCCGGACCGGCCTCCCACGTAATAAATCTCCTGGCGGCAACCCGAGCCGGGCTCTGCTCCGCGCTCAGAGCCGCCAGCTCTGCGGACGGACTGATGACAGCGCCCCGGAGCCCGGTGGGTCTGCCCTGGGGCCCTCCTGGGGCTCCCCTCCTCGGGGGAGAGGGGTGAGCGTGGGGATGTCTGCTTAGAAGGAAGGGCTGGGTCCACAGGGAGCGGCCTCCCGGGGGGAGAGGGGACTTGGGGACGCCCGATTGGGATAAAAGGGAGCCGGGCCGAGGGGCTAGGAGGGATCCGGGGTGGAGGTTCGAGGGGGGAGGGGGAGAGGCAGAAACCTTCCCCCCCCACCCGGAGGCCGCGGCGGGGGAGGGGGACGGAGGAGCCAGGGAGTCTGCAGCGGCGGGGATCTGAGCCTCGGTTACAACCGGCGGGGACGAATGCAGGGGCCGGGCCGGGGTACCGCGGACCAGAACCCCTTCCCGTCTGCAGAGGGGAGCCCCAGGTTCTGCTGAGTAAGGAGCAGCCAGTGGCCTTTCCACCTCAGCGCTGCGCAAAGGAAGGATGGAAGACGAACAGGAGCCGCCCTTGCAGCCCCGGAAGCAGGTGACCTGTTGGCGGGACATCCTGCTCTGCCCCCGGCCCCCCGCTCCCCTTCATGCTCTGCGCCCCCTGCGCCTGCACCCCGGCTGCGCCTGCACTCCAGCAGCCCCAGACGCCCCGACCCTCACCACACGCACTGCGCCTGCGCGCCCGCCTCCGCTTCGGTCCACACGCACTGCGCCTGCGCGCCCGCCTCCGCTTCGGTCCACACGCACTGCGCCTGCGCGCCCGCCTGGGCTTCGGGAATGATTGGCACTTCTCGAGGCCCCCCACTGCGCATGCGCCTCCGCCTGGCTCCGCGGCGCGCGCTGCTGGCTTCCCCCCGGGGTGGTTGCACAGCCCTCCCCCCGCGCCGCGACCTCGCGGGGCCAAAGCCCACCCCGCAAGCCCCTCTTCTCCTGAGTGCGGGGGAAGTGTGCCCGTGCCCGATGCCCTCCTGCGATCTGGAGAGGTCGGCATTCCTCCAAACCCCGCCCGCTGGCCCTGGCGTTTCGGATGCGGAATTGCAGCTCGGCGTGCACTGCACTGGCGCAGCCACTCCGGAAGGCTTAGCGGAGACGTCAGACGTGCAAACACTGTCTCGTGCTTGCTCGCACGGTGGCGTTAGGTGTGTGGGCTCAGAAGAGCGTGCAGGTGTCCGCGCGCAGGTATGGCCTGGGGGCTGGTGCAGGGTTGCATGTGGCCGCACATCTGCAGGACCTGCGGACCCCAGCCGCCCAGGCTAGCATCCCTGGTGATGCCTGCGCTGTCTTGTGTCCTCAACTGCGGGCCAGACACGCCCCGGTTCTGGCTACCTCCGCCCCTTCTTGGAGTGTGTCCCATCCTCACCACTCTCCCCAGCCTTCATCTCCTCCATCTCCCGTAAAACCCTGTCTTGTCCTGCTTCACAGAGAGAATGGGGGCAGCCCACACCGCTCATCTCTGGATTCCCCCACAACCTGCACTGATTTCCACGAGCTCCCGCATGGGGCTTCCCCTCCTCTCCGTTAAGTCTATGCAGATGTCACCTTCTCGGGGCATATCCTGGACCACCCTCTCCACACACCCCCCTCTCGCCCGTCTCTGCTCCCTGTCTCAGTTGCCCCAGCTGGCCTACTATACGCTTTCCTTGTTCATGTTGTTACTTACCACGCTGGAAGGAAAGCTCCATGAGGCCACAGATTTTGTCTCTTTTGTTCACTGCTCTATCCCTAGCACCCAGCGCAGTAGGCTTATGGTCCGTAATAGGGAGGCAGGAAATATTTGTCCCCTGAATTCATCATCACCATCATAGTTAGTGTCTGATGGTTTTTCATGACCAGCCATGGCTCTTGGCCACGCATGTCAAACTCAAAGGCTGACATGGGGCAAATAAACAAGGTGTAAGTTTATGTGGGCTTGCTCTAGTTTGGTTTGGCTTAGTGGATAGGGCGTCGGCCTATGGACTGAAGGATCTCAAGTTCCAATCCACCCAAGGGCACATGCCTGGTTTCTGGGCTCAGTCACCAATGGGGGGTGTACAGGGGCAGCCGATCAATGGTTCCCTCTCATCATTAATGTTTATATCTCTTTTTCCCTCTCCCTTCCTCTCTGAAATCAATAAAAAATATATATATATTTAAAGTTTATGTGAGCTGCAAAAAAACCCAAAAGCTTCAATTTTCATAGAAACATAGGTTTATTTCGATACAGACATGCTGACTACAAAGGGTGAAATAAATGAGTAATCGTTAACACGAAATAATAGAACATTTTAATAAAAATTAATATTTTTTTGAACATTAACTTACCAGACATTGAATAAACTGCTCACATTAATAAGCGTAACACAAGTAAACCTCTTTTTCTTGTCCTCTGAAAGCAAAATACTTCCCGTTGCACACACCAAACAAGTCAGTATCAAACTAATGATGTGGCAGTCGGCTGCTAAAATATTCGGGGGTAGCAATAGTGGAGAGAAACAGTGTGCCTGCGTGTAAGTTGCATAAGGGAAATGAATCAGACATCATAAGCGAATATTGTAATTCGCTGTTAATAATTATGTATAACAGGATATGGCAAAATTTAAGTTACAACACTTTTATTAAAATGCTGCCCACATACCGTTACATTGGCTGGGCTGCAAAAATATTCCTTGTGGGCCACATGCGGCCCTCGGGCTGCGAATCTGACATGCCTGCTCTAGGCCGTCTCCACAAGCCATCTCAGTGGACTAAACCACTTCCTGCTGCCTCGGAGACCTGCCGGCATCTCCTGCCCCGTGAGCTCACTTGTCACCATCAGGCATTGTGCCTCTTGCCGCCCGTCCGGGGCTGTGATGTGGCTACAGTGAGACCAAACCCCTGGGTCCTCACCTGGCTTTCTCCTGTGGCTCGCAGCTTGGGGGGAAGTTCCGTAGGCCTTAGAGGAGCTGTGGGCAGCCAGGGTGCCTGTCATCTGTCTGCAGATCTGTGGCAAGACCTCTGGCAGAATCCTGCCCTCTGGATTCCCACCCGCCCCCCACCTCACCTCCCAGCACCCCCGCACAGTATCTGGCCAAATGGCGAATGCGTGCTTGTCTCTTCCCTGGCTGCATCTGTCCTCGGCACAGTGCCTGGATGGGACAGGCACTTGGAATTGGACTGACGAATGAATGAATTCCTCAGGGAATTCTTCAGAAACTCTTTTAGCCAAATATCCTTCTGCCATGAACTCTACTTATTTTTTTAAAATATATTTTATTGATTTTTTGCAGAGAGGAAGGGAGAGGGATAGAGAGCTAGAAACATCAGTGAGAGAGAAACATCAACCAGCTGCCTCCTGCACACACCCTATCGGGGATGTGCCCGCAACCAAGGTACATGCCCTTGACCGGAATCGAACCTGGGACCCTTCAGTCCGCAGACTGACGCTCTATCCACTGAGCCAGACCGGTTTTGGCTGAACTCTACTTATTTAAAAAATAACATAAATTTGATATGTAGCACTTTAAATTTGCAGACAAATTTGCCAAAACAGGAAAGGCAGTATGAATTACATGGAAAAGATCAATGACTTGGTTTGTATACAGTCAGCTCCTCTGTGAGTGCCTAGGAAGACAGCTGAGGGAAGCGTTCCCGGTTATACCTTGGAGGAGTAGAGAGCTTCAACTGTACACTGAGTTTGCAGAGCAGGAGGCTGGGCGGGGTTCTGCTCTCGGCCAGCCACGTGGCCTAGGTGCCTCCTCCCCTCTGCCCTCGGTCTCCTCGTGCTGCCCGGTACACACGCACGGCAGTGCTCTCCTTGGCAGGCTCTGGTCCCCGGAGGGCGGTGAGGCTGCTGCTACTCACGCCCTGTCCTCCCATCTCTCCTCAGACTCAGGGCAGGGTCCTGCTGCAGACCGTCTGTGCGGCTGGCATTGGTGGGACCTTCCAGTTTGGCTATAACCTCTCCATCATCAATGCCCCCACCGCGGTATGTACCTTCCGGGCCTGTGATCGCCGGCGGAGCGGGTGCTGGGTGAGGGCTGAGAGGTGTCCCCTGCGGTGTCTTTCCCAAGCACAGGCATTCCTAACCACATGGCCTCTGTTCAGGCCCGAGTGGCAGCTCTGGGGGTGGGGTTTTGGGGTGTCTGAACCACCTGTAGCTCAGGCAATGGGCACGGCAGTGCACCTCTCTGGGCCCAGTTCCCAGCTTACCGATGAGCAGAGTCAGGTGTTCTCACCGACGAGCAGAGTCAGGTGTTCTCACCGACGAGCATTCGCCACAGTCAGGGCACCGAGGAGGCACACAGCTTCCAGAGAAGCCGAGCAGGTTTAGATTCCACACAGGACCGAGTGGGGCGCACAGCCAGAGGGCGTGCAGGCCTAGCAATGCAGACTCAGTAGCACAAATGGGGGGGGGGGGGAGCATGTGGCACAGACCCCCTTGAACGCGACCGGGTCCTTTGGTCTCCTGCTCTGTCTGTGGTTTCACTCTCCCTGTGGGGAGAAGGCCTAGCGTGTGTGGTCCCCTCCCTGGGAGGCTGAGTGGCCTCTCTGTTCGCAGCACATTCAAGAGTTCACCAATCAGACGTGGCAGGCGAGGACTGGTCAGCCACTGCCCGACCACCTGATCCTGGTAATATGGTCCCTCATCGTGTCCCTGTACCCGCTGGGGGGCCTCTTCGGAGCGCTGCTGGCGGGGCCCCTGGCCGTGATGCTGGGGAGGTAAGTGCTTCCTGTGGACCCCCGTGGCCTTCACGGAGGGTGAGGGTCACCCCGGCCGGTCTGCAGGCCGAGGAACGTGGGAGAAGGGAGGTTCCTGACTGGCCCCCGCCTCCTGCTCTGCCTGCAGTTTCACCATGAGAGTCAGTTCCCAGCAGAGGTGGCAGAGGGAGGAGTCCACTAAGTGAGAGGGAGGACTCCCGTCTCTAATTCCACCTCTGCCAACAAAGGCCACTTATAAACAGTAGCCTCATTTCCCCCTTTGTGACCAAGCTTTTCTTTCTTTTGTTTTAAATATATATTTTATTGATTTCAGAGAGGAAGGGAGCAGGAGAGAGAGAAAGAGAGAGATAGGAACATCAACGGTGAGAGAGAATCATTGATGGGCTGCCTCCTGCACATCCCACACTGGGGTTCGAGCCCACAACCCAGGCATGTGCCCTGGCCAGGAATAGAACTGTGACCTCCTGGTTCATAGGTCGACACTCAACCACTGAGACATGCCAGTAGGCCTACCGGGCCCCTTTTTTGTGTTTTGTTTTGTTTTGTTTTTTTACAAAGGATTTTGAGGAGAGGGGTGCTTAATCTGAGGGATAAAGCTGCATGTGAATCTGTCATTTCAAGCTGTGGACAGGCAGGAAGGACAAAGGTTTGAAGTGCGTTAGCGGTCAGCAAACTCATTCGTCCACAGAGCCAAATATCAACGGGACAACGATTGAAATTTCTTTGGAGAGCCCAATTTTTTAAACTTAAACTCCTTCTAACGCCACTTCTTCAAAACAGACTCGCCCAGGCCGAGGTATTTTGTGGAAGAGCCACACTCAAGGGGCCAAAGAGTCACCTGTGGCTCGAGAGCCGCAGTTTGCCGATCACGGCGTTGGGGCATACCACATGTGACCCAGGTACAATGGCTAGTGATCATTACCACCCAGTCGCTAGCTAGAGCCTTTAGCACGGTTCACACACACACATACACACACACACACACACACACACACACACACGGGTCTGATTGGCTGGCTGGGGATCGTCCCCCCGGACTGACTCTCCGGCCGGTGTCCCGCTCCCCAAGGAAGAAGTCCCTCCTGGTGAACAACGTGTTTGTGGTCGCCGCGGCGATCCTGTTCGGCTTCAGCCACAGGGCAGGCTCCTTCGAGATGATCATGCTGGGACGGCTGCTCGTGGGAGTCAGCGCAGGTATGGGGCGGGGGGGGGGGGGGGGGGGCATCTCCCTTGCCTCCCCGTTCTCGGTCGTTCACTTATTCTCTTCATTTGTTCATTTATTCTCTTTATCCACGGATTTACTTTTCACGCATGCCTACCTTCATTTTGCAAAATACGATGAAGCATGGTTTATCTTTTTTTCCCTCTTTTTTTAAATTAGATTATTATCTGTGTACATATTTTAACATTGCCGCCCCCCTCCCATACATACCCTCCCTTCCTAGAGTTTTATGTCCATGGGTTGTACTTAGAAGGCATGGTTTATCTTAAAAAGCTCGTGTAACTAGACACTGAGAGTGGACATCGGAAAATTAAAAAAAGTCGCATAGGGATGTGAGGACACACATTCCCAGACCTGCCCTGACACTAACCGGGGCCCTGTGTTTGAGTAACGCGCCAATAGACATGAGCTTCCTGGCGGCCCAGGTGAAAAGGCATCGAAGATGAGTTCTCTGACCGTCCAGACGAGGCAGACTAGCCTGTCAGGGGCTCCTCAGTTTGGGGGGCGGGGGAGGCTGTCATGTGAGGGAGCAGAATTTTTAGTATATCCATCTGGGCTCTTAGGGGTGTCCGCCAGCAAATCCCCTCTGGACCCCCTCCTGGGTAAACGGCCAGGTGTAACTGTCTGTCTGAGGGATCTAGTCCAGTCAAACAAAGCCTGTAAACACTTCTTGTCGGATGGTTCCTGTGGGACCCGGGCGTGTCTCAGCCGGTTGGCTCTGGCTTCGCCCTCTGGAGGCTGGGATCACGCTGGCAGGCCCGGCTGCAGTCGCTCAGGGTTTGCCGAGGCTGGAGGGTCTGCTTCCAGGATGACAGTGGGCCGGGGGCCCAGTCCTCAGCCTGTGGGTCTCACCCGTGGGGGCTGGTTTCCGCCAGCGTAAGTGGTCAGAGAGGAAGAAGAGAGTGTATGTGTGTGTGTGCATGTTCAAGGAGGGAGTCCCAATTTTTAAAAATAGATAGATTTTAGCCAAAACCGGTGTGGCTCAGTGGATAGAGCGTCGGCCTGTGGACTGAAGGGTCCCAGGTTCGATTCTGGTCAAGGGCATGTACCTTGGTTGCGGGCACATCCCCGGTGGGGGGTGTGCAGGAGGCAGCTGGTCGATGTTTCTCTCTCATCGACGTTTCTGGCTCTCTATCTCTCTCCCTTCCTCTCTGTGGAAAATCAATAAAATATATTAAATAAATAAATAAGATAGTAACTGTGATTTTAAAAAAATCTTAAATACACACACACACACACACACACACACATATATATATATATATATATATATATATAAAATTATTATTGATTTATGGGAGAAAAGGAGAGGGAGAGAGAGAGAAACATCAATGATGAGAGAGAGTCATTGATGGGCTGCCTCCTGCACGCCCCCTCCTGTGGATTGAGCCTGCAGCCCGGGCATGTGCCCTGACTGAGAATAGAACCATGACCTTCAAAGGTCGATGCTCAGCCACTGAGTCACGCCCCCGCGGGGCTGTTGTTTATGTCCCAATCCCAGGAGTCACCCCCGGTTATCGTTGCCCCGGGCTGCTTGTGAGCAGTGAGTCACTGGGACCAGCCCGCGCTCCGGGGGAAAGGAACTGGGCCGGAAGTTGTCTGTGTGCCCCGAGGACGAGGGCCCGGCACACGGCCCGGTCCCTGCCTGCGCGGAGGGAGAGCAGGGCCCCTCTGAGGCTTTGGCCATCGACACATCCCCTTGTTCCCAGCTCCCTGCACCCCGTGCTCGGAGAGACACAGGCCCCTGTTGAGACCCGGGTTCTGATCCCAGGCCGGGCAGGGAGGGCCCGGCGCTCCCAGCGGGTGGAGGATGCTCGGCACTGGCCTCCTGGCGTTGGGCAGCGGTTGCCACCTGGGGTGGGCAGGGGGAGGGCTGTCCGGTTCCGTTTCCCCGCTGGTTGCTTGGTGCCTGGTGTCTCTGCAGGAGTTGGGATGAGGTGAGCGGACAGCAGTGGTGGCCGGTGACAGTGTCGCTGGGAGAGCTGGGCAGCGGGTGGGCATCGGATGCCACCTTTCCCTTCTCCCCCTGCCCGCTGGGAGCCCTTTACATCCACCCAGGGACAGGGTCTAAAGAGATTCGATGACGGGAGTGGGACTGGGGCGAGGGAACAGGATGGGGCCGGTCTGAGAAAGACTTCTTTCCATCTCAGAGATCCTGGGAGCGGGGGTGGGGGGGAACCTGGGGTCCTGCTGGCCCCACAGCAGGTGCGGGGGGTTGGCCTCTAAGCTTATGGGGGGAGGCAGCAGCTCTGGGCCAGGATCCAGCAGGTGAGGTGCCAGGACGGGGGAGGCAGGCCTGGGGGTCCAGGCGGGAGGGGGTCCAGCCTGCGGTCTGACTGTCCGCGTGCACACGGCCAGGCGTGAGCATGAGCATCCAGCCCATGTACCTGGGGGAGAGCGCCCCCAAGGAGTTCCGAGGAGCCGTGGCCATGACCTCAGCCATCTTCACTGCCCTGGGGATCGTGATGGGACAGGTGGTGGGACTCAGGTAAGCGCCCCCCACGGGCCAGGAAAAGCCCTGCTTTCCCTGGACCCCTCCCCACCTGTGACAGAGACGAGGCTGACATGCCCCCTCACATCTGGTTGGATCACATGCCTCCCCCTAGACCAATCCTGTGTCACGTGAGGCTACGTCTGGGTCAGGTGACCCCCAATCCTTTATAATACAAGGGTACGATGCACATAGGCTGAACGGCAGAACAACCGAATAGCCAGTCACAGTGTAATATGCTAACGATATGCTAAGGCAGATCATTGCTTCTTTGTATCTCGAAACTTGGTGCACAAAACGGGCCTCAGGGAGCCACACTTCAGTGTGAACCACCCTTCTCCTCCTCTCCCTGGATCAGGAAGCAGAAAGCAGGACTTGGCAGGGGAGGTTTGGGCGTTGGAAGGGGAGCTTGCCTTGGTCGTTCCAGAACAGAGAGGAGAAGGCAAAGCCTGGCGTCCTAGGAGAGAAGTCGGTAGGGAGAAGAGGGGGCCGTGGCCCTGCCCAGGCTGGGGTCCCTCCCTGGTGGGAGGGGGCTTGGTGTCCAGGCTCAGAACTGGTGAGGAAGCACAGAGCCCTCCAGACCCTCTGCCTCCAAAGGGCAGGCAGGCACGTTGGGGGGCGGGGAGCAGGTGGACAGGGGGCGGGGCTCTGGCCCGGAGGTGTCCGGCTGGCCTCTCCTCTGCCTCTCCTCCAGGGAGCTCCTGGGGGGCCGGCAGTCCTGGCCCCTGCTGCTGGCCAGCTGCCTGGTGCCCGGGGTGCTGCAGCTGGCCTCCCTGCCCCTGCTGCCCGAGAGCCCGCGCTACCTCCTCATCGACCGTGGCGACACCGAGGCCTGCCTGGCGGGTGAGTCCCCGACCGCGGGCGCCTGGACCACTGCCCACCAACGGGCGTGCCTGCCCAGAGCACGCGGGTCCTCTTTGCTCCGGGAAAGGTGGTCCCTCCCTTGGTGCCCTCTGTCAGTCCCTTCGGAGCCCCGGGCCGCGCAGGGAAAGCTCCCACACACGTGCAGGATGAAATAGCATGTAGACTTCCCTGGCCCAAGGCCAGCCGACGGCCTTACTCATGGCTGTGGCCGCAGTCATGATGTGCCAGGAAGGATCCCCACATCTTTGGCTTAAAACACATCACGTGCCCCAACCAGGCTCAGCTGATTGAAGCGTCGCCCCAGGTTCGATTCGATTCTGGCCAGGGAGGCAATTGATCAATGTTTCTCTCTCTCTCTCTCTCTCTCTCTCTCTCTCTCTCTCTCTCCCTTCTCTCTAAAAATTTAATTTTATTTATTTTTAAGTATATTTTTTACAGAGAGGGAGATAGAAACATCAATGAGAGAGAAACATTGACCAGCTGCCTTCTGCACGCCCCCCACTGGGGATGTGCCCCCAACCAAGGCATGTGCCCTTGACCGGAATCAAACCCGGGACCCTTCAGTCCGCAGGTTGACACTCTATCCACTGAGCCAAACCGGTTTTGGCTCTCTCTAAAAATTAATAGTCATATTCTCAGGTACGAGGATTAAAAACAACAATCATTTACTTTACTTTCTACTCATTGACTCCCTGGGCTGGCTGCCCTGGGCTGGTGTCAGAGGCAGCTGAGGATTGGCCAGTGCAGGCTGGTCTGGGCTGGAGCAGTTCCGCTCTGCTGCACATTCCTTTCTCTCTGTGTGTGTCTCTCTCTCTTTAAAAATGTGTTAATAGTGTTAATAGCCCTCGCTGGTTTGGCTCAGTGGATAGAGTATCAATCTGTGGACTGAAGAGTCTTGGGTTTGATTCAGGTTAAGGGCACATGCATGGGTTGCCAGCATGATCCCCAATAGGGGGCGTGCAGGAGGCAGCCGATCTATAATTCTCATCATTGATGTTTCTATCTCTCCCTCTCCCCTCCACTCTGAAATCAATAAAAATATATTTTAAAAGAAAGAAAAAGAAAGAGATTTATTTTTGTTGTTTTTAAAAATATATATTTTATTGATTTCTTACAGAGAGGAAGGGAGAGAGATAGAGAGCTAGAAACGTCGATGAGAGAGAAACACCGACCAGCTGCCTCTTGCACACCCCCTACTGGGGATGTGCCCGCAACCAACGTACATGCCCTTGACCGGAATTGAACCTGGGACCTTTCAGTCCACAGACCGACGCTCTACCACTGAGCCAAACCGGTTTTGGTTGTTGTTGTTTTTTATTAAACAGACCTAGCAAGTTTGGAATAAGTTAAATTTGATTACAATTTGTTCCCTCTGAGGGTCTTTCTGTGCTCATGTGTTTTTGTTTGTTTGTTTTTCAAATTTCACCAGAGGATATTTTCCCATTGATTTTTAGAGAGAGCGGAAGAGAGGGGGAAAGACAGAGAGAGACATCGATGTGAGAGAAACACATGTATTGGTTGCCTCCTGCATGAGCCCAACCAGGCCCGGGCCGGGGAGGAGCCTGCAACCCAGGCAGGTGCTTGCCTTTGTCCGGCCTCCTCACCATCCTCGGTCTGGTCTTGGACCCAATCCCATAAGATACAGGTCTTAGTTCTGGTGGCACCCACTCCGTGTACCAGTTTACCAATGGGCTTTCTGGTCCTGCCTGATAATCACTGCATCTCTGTGGCCAGCTGCGTAGCTGGAGCCCCTGTGAGTTCTCTGGGGCTGGCCGACGCGGGGCTGGCTCTGGCTGGTGGCTCTGCCCCCTTCGGTCACTCATGCAGGTCTACCGGGCATCGGCCCCTCTGTGCGGTACCAGCTGGGCCATCTCGGTTCCTTTTGGAACCCTTGGGCCAACCTAGCCCGTTTTGGGTTTTTTTTGTTGTTGTTTGTTTTTTAAATATATTTTATTGATTTTTTTACAGAGAGGAAGGGAGAGGGATAGAGAGTCAGAAACATTGATGAGAGAAAAACATCAATCAGCCGAGACTGGTTTGGCTCAATGGATAGAGCGTCGGCTTGGGGACTGAAGGGTCCCGGGTTCGATTCCGGTCAAGGGCATGTACCTTGGTTGCGAACATATCCCCGGTAGGGGGTGTGCAAGAGGCAGCTGGTCGATGACTCTCTCTCTCATCGATGTTTCTAACTCTCTATCTCCCTTCCTCTCTGTACAAAATCAATAAAATATATTTTAAAAAAATCAGCTGCCTCCTGCACACTCCCCCACTGGGGATGTGCCTGCAACCAAGGTACATGCTCTTGACTAGAATCGAACCTGGGACCTTTCAGTCCACAGCTCGACGCTCTATCCACTGAGCCAAACGGGTTAGGGCTAGCACGTTTTTAGAATGATGCCGACATAGAAATGAGCCGGGTCCCTGAAGGCGTGGGCTGGGACCGGTCTCTGCGTGTTGTTGGATGGATCCACCGCATCCCCAGGCTCTACAGTCCTTCCTGGTCCATGAGGCTGTGAACGGACAGGGCCAGGAAGGTCCACCCCATCTGACCACCCGGGGCCCAGAGAGAGAGAAAGGGGGGGGGGGTTGGGGAGAGGAAGCTCATTGTGGGGGGCAGAGAGCTCAGCACCCCTCTCCCGTCCCAGCACTGCAGCGGCTGCGGGGCACCGAGGACCTGGCGGCGGAGCTGGCGGAGCTGGAGGAGGAGCGGGCGGCCTGCCAGGGCCTGCGGGCCTGGCGCCCCTGGGAGCTGTTCCAGGACCGCACCCTGCGCCGGCAGGTGGTGAGCCTGGTGGTCCTGGCCAGCGCCATGGAGCTCTGCGGGAACGACTCGGTGAGATTCCCCCCCTGCCCCTTCCCCTGCCCCGCCCCTCACACACACACACTCTGTGCTGCAGGACCCTGGGGGCCACGGCGGCTGCCGGGAGCCGGTGCCCAGAGCCGCCCGTGCCCGCCTCCCCAGGTGTACGCCTATGCGTCCTCCGTGTTCGGGGAGGCGGGAGTGCCCCGGGAGAAGGTCCAGTACGCCATCATCGGGACCGGGTGCTGCGAGCTGCTCACAGCATGCATCAGCGTGAGTGTGGCTCCGGCCGGCCTCCCCCAGCCCCCTGGGAGAGGGGGGCCCACGGGAGGGGGGCGCTGGCCCCCTGAGGGCTCCAGTCCTCTGCTGTAAGCCATGTCCCACTCCAGGTCACTCTGTTAAAATGTGAGGAGTTAGTCAGCCTGGATTGGGCACCTGCTATTGGTGGGGCACTCCAACCACTGTTTTGAGATGGAACTCCGAGTAGTTGGGTGGCTGTGGGAAATGAATTTCTTTTTGTTCTTTTTAAAAAAATATATATATATATATATATTTGCCGGGACCGGTTTGGCTCAATGGATAGAGCGTTGGCTTGGGGACTGAAGGGTCCTGGGTTCGATTCCGGTCAAGGGCATGTACCTTGATTGCGGGCATATCCCCAGTAGGGGGTGTGCAGGAGGCAGCTGATCGATGACTCTCTCTCTCATCGATGTTTCTAACTCTGTATCTCTCTCCCTTCCTCTCTGTACAAAATCAATAAAATATATTTTTAAAAAAAAAATATATATATATATATATATTTTATTGATTTTCCACAGAGAGGAAGGGAGAGGGATACCGAGTTAGAAACATCGATGAGAGAGAAACATCCATCAGCTGCCTCCTGCACGCCCCCTACTGGAGATGTGCCCGCAACCAAGGTACATGCCCTTGACCGGAATCAAACCCGGGACCCCTCAGTCCGCAGGCCGAGGCTCTATCCACTGAGCCAAACCGGTTTCGGCGGGAAGTGAATTTCTTAATCAACTGAAGCAGCAAACTGCTCCCTACCCCATCCTCCGCTTCCTCCTGAGGCCTCTCCCCATTGCCCACCCCAAACCAAGGGGACCGTGGCCCGGGGCCCTTTCCTCCGCAGTGCATGGTCATCGAGAGGGCCGGCCGGCGGGTGCTGCTCATCGGCGGGTACTGCCTCATGACCTGCTGGGGGAGCATCTTCACGGTGGCCCTGTGCCTGCAGGTAGCTGGCGGGGAGGAGGAGGAGGAGGGCGGCGGGGTGCCGGCTGCTCCCCCCCTCACCCCAGCCCTCCGCTGCAGAGCTCCTTCCCCTGGATGCCCTACCTGGCCATGTCCTGCATCTTCGCCTTCATCCTCAGCTTTGGCATCGGCCCCGGTGAGTGGGCTCCAGGGGCTCTGGGCTTCGGGACTTGCCGAAGGGACGTGGGCACTACCTGGGTGGACGGTGGGTGGGTGTGAATGCGGTATCACCTGCATGCCCCGCCCCCACCTGTACGGAAGCTTCTGGAAAAACGCCCAGGGGTCCCCACTGCCACATCTGGGGACGTTCCCTGGCTGGCAGCCCCCTGTCCCCCCCGCCCCTCCTTGCAGCCGGAGTGACAGGGATCCTGGCCACGGAGCTGTTTGACCAGATGGCCCGGCCTGCCGCCTACATGGTCTGCGGGGCGCTCATGTGGACCATGCTCTTCCTGGTTGGGCTGGGGTTCCCCTTCCTGATGGTAGGCGTGCCCCTCCGCCCCCCGGGGGGCGCTGTCTGCATGTGGGAGGCCTCCACCCTAGGAGATGGAGCCCAAAGTGGGTGGGGCTTCGCCAAGCAGAGAAAGACGGGTCCCTCTTTCAGACCTGTCCTGGGGCCCTGCCTCCTGGGGCCGAGTATAGAGCCACCCTGGGTCTCAGGAGGGACTGTCCTGCTTTTAACCTCCAGGAGGGACTGTCCTACTTCCTCTACGTGCCTTTCCTCGTTGTCTGTGTCTGTGGGGCCCTCTACACTGGCTTCTTCCTTCCCGAGACCAAAGGCAAGACCTTCCTGGAGATCTCTGAGGAACTGCACAGGCTCAACTTCCCCGGGCGGAGCCAGGGCCCCAGTGGAGGGGCCCGAAGGTCACCCAGTCCACGGAGCTATAGCCCCGCGGCGGCGGCTGGGGCCCAGGTCTAGTTCCGCTCCGCCCTTCGCTTCCTCTCCATTGACTAGCTCTCCTGAATGTGTCCATTTAACAAGTGCTTGTTAAATGAGCACCTACTATGTGCGGACCGGTGCCAGGGGCCTAGCCATAGCGGTGAGCCAGAGAGACGGGGTCCCGGGCCTCTTGGTGTTCCCCACCCGGAGGCCGTGAACAAACAGGAAACCGATGAAAACATAACTGCAAACTCAGGGAATGCTGTGGGAGAAAAACACAGGTTGTGAAAGGCGCGCATAGCCTGGGGGTGGAGGTGCAGGAGGGGCTGGCCTAGTTTGAAGGGCATCCATGGTCAGAAAAGGATTTTTATTATTTTTTTAAATGAACTTTATTGGCTCTGGCTGGGAAACTCAGTTGGTTCAAGTGTCGTCCTGATACGCCAAAGTTGTGGGTTCGATCCCCGGTCAGGGCACATACAAGAATCAACCAATGAATGCATCAATAAGTGGAACAACAAATTGATGTTTCTCTCTCTCTAAAGCTCAATAAAAAATAAAATTAAAATCAACTTTATTGAGGTGTAATTTGCGTATAATAAAATGTATCCACCTTAAGTATATATTGGATGAGTTTTGACAGATTTATCCACCCATGAAACTACCAAACCACAGCAATCAAGGTAGAACGTTCACATCCCAAAAAAATCTCCCTTTGCGATCAATAACCCACCACCCCTCCCAGCTCCAAACAACCGCTGACCTGTTTTCTGTCCCCAAAACCCAGATTGGCCTTTTCTATACTGAATTTGACATAAATCCATGCTGTCTGTATGCACTGCTCCAGATAAAGTTTTAAAAAGTCATGCTGGTTGTTACATGTATTGATATATACTCCTTTGTATTTCTGAGTAGTATTCCACTGCATGGCTATAACACAATTTGCGTATCTGTTTACCTGCTGGTGGACATTTCAGCTGTTTCTGATTCGTGGCCATCATGAATAAAACTGCTGCAAACATTCCTGCACAGGCTGTTGTGTAGACAGTGTTTTCATTTCTTTTGGGTAAATTGCTGAGTCTAATAATGAAGGTTGCCTGGCCAGAGTGACTCAGTAGGTTGATTGTTGTCCTGTGCATTGAAAGGTTGATGGTTTGATTTCCAGTCGGGGCATATACCTGGGTTTCAGGTTCAATCACTGGTTGGGGTACATAGAAAAGGCAACTGATAGATGTTCTCTCTCTCTCACTGCCTCCCCTCTCTTCCTTCCTCTCTATAAGCATGTCCTTGGGTAAGGATTAAAACACACACACACACACACACACACAAAATAATGAAGGTAGGCTTAGCTGTAGAAAAACCTTATCAAAGTGATTATCCTGTTGGACATTCCCATTGGCAATGTGTGAGGATGCCAGATGTTCCAGCACTTGGTACTGGCAATCTTTTTAATTGGTGTCTCATTGTGGTTTAATTGGGGTATTTCCCTGATGACTCACAATGTTGAGCATCTTTTCATCTGCTCAGTATGGCCATTCATCTACCTTCTCTTGTGAAGAATCTGTTCCAATATTTCATCTATTATATTTTTTAAGATTTCATTTTTTAGAGCAGTTTGAAGTTCACAGCAAATGTGAAAGGTACAGAGATTTCCCACATGCCTCCTGCATGCCCCCCCTCATAGCACCTCCCCCATGATCAACATCTCCCACCAGAGTGGGACAATTGTTACAATCCGTGAGCCTACATAGCACTGTCTCCCGAAGTCTATAATACACTCCGGGGTTCACTTTTGTTATTGTAGGGTCTATGGGTTTGGACAAATGTCTAATTCTATGTACCCACCCTAAGGTCCCATACAGAGTAGTTTCACTGCTCCCCTGTGGTGGGGGTTGGAGGGAGGGTGCCAGCTCAGAGCTGGTTATTGCGAGACAGGGAGGGCCTGGGCTAGACCCCGGGGCAATGGTACATCCCCTGTGAGAGAGGAGCTCCCTCCCCCACTTGGCCCTCTTTTGGGTCTCACCGAGGCCACCCTCCTGACCCAGAGCTGGTGAGGAAGAGGCATGGGACATGCAGCGCCTCTGCCCTCCGGGGGACCGGGAGGCAGGGGCAGGGCGTTTGCAAGGAGGCACTGGCCCAGTCTCTCCTGTCTCCCCAGGTAGCTTCTGGGTGGCCCACAGGCCTGGCCCCTATTTCTGGCGGCCGCCTGTGCCTGGGGGCCCAGCAGCCTCTGCTCTTCTTCCTCAGGAGCCCAGGAGACCTCCTCATTGTCAGCGGAGACCCCGGGGCTTGCCAGGAAGACACATTCCGGGGTACAGCGGGGTGGGGGGCCCCAGCGGGGGTGATGACTCCCAGGTCTTCTTCCACTGAGACTAGAGTGGGGTGGGGTATTTTGCTTGTCTCTGCTGAGACTTTTACCGCATTTAGTGCAAAGGACACAGGGCCAGGGGCCAGGGGCTGCTGGGTAGTTTTGGCAGGAAGGAGTGATGTGGTTAGCGTGAAGCCTCTGGAAATTCCCCCCAGATTCACTTTTCTATCCCATTTTTATTTCAGTTCAGCAACTCCTTGTACGATAGACGTAAGGATGGAAAACGTACAACATATTCTGACCAGATCCGGGTTCCCAGGAGTCATAGGGCAACACAAATGATTTGGGGCCATCGCTTCTTTCTGCCAGGCCCTCAAAATGGCCATTTCTAATGGATGGGAGAAAATAAAATTCTCAGAACCAATCCCCTGTGGCCGAAGGAAAGACCGGTGGCTCCTTGCACACACCCTTCGGTACGGAGGCTGGCGGGTACCAAGTTGTTTCTCGGGCTCATTAAACAACGTGCCCGCAGAACTCTAAGATGAAGGAGAGAAATTCCTGACATCAGTGTGTTCGGCTTGAACCTGGGTTTCAGATTAGAAAGGAAACGCCCAAACTGCCTTATCATCAGTAAGGTTTTTTTGTTTGTTCTTAAATATTTTTTAATTGATTTTTTTAAGGGAGAAAGGGAGGAAGAAAGAGAAACATCGATCACCCCGGGCATGTGGCCTGACCAGGATTCGAACCAGCACCTTTCAGTGCACGGGATCACGGCCAACTGACTGTGCCACCTGAGCCAGAGCATCATCAGGGAGCTTTATTTAGCACTGATTTCCGTGGTATGAGGCAATGCAGACCTCTCTGTGCTTTTACTTCCGTTCTACCCTCTTCTGGGCTCTGCTGGCGCTGGTGCTGAGCCTCTACTTACTCCTGTCCCTCCGCTCCCTCCCCTTGGCCCTGTCCTCTCTGAAGTCCCGCTCTCTCTCCCAGTCATTTCCCGGCCACCCCCTGGCCGGCTCTCTTTCCTGCCGCCTCTTGTCCCTGCCCCGGTCATGGTCTCGCTCCCTGGTCCTCGGCTCCCAGTGTCTCTCCCGGGATCGGGACCGCTCCCTCTTTTCCCTCTTCCCCTCTCTGTACTGGTCGCTTTTGATAACGGGCAGATTGATGGGTTTCCGGAAAGGCCGGTCCCGCCCCCCAAACCTCAGCTGCCCGGATTCCTTTTTCCCCCCCAGCCCTCCTCCCAGCCGCCGAGGGATCCAGCCCTTGAGAGTCCTCTCCAGTTCGTAGTCCACGAAGATCTCGTGCTGGTCGATGACCAGGCCGTCGGCGTCCCGGTAGGCTTTGAGCAGGGACCGCTCCTCCTTGTACTCGATGAAGGCGTAGCCCTTGGAAAAGCCCGTGACCAGGTCCCTCACCAGCCGAAGCCGCCGGATGTCCCCGTAGCGGGAAAACACCTCCTTCAGCTTCTCCTCTTTGGTCTGCAAGTTCAGCCTCGCCACGAACAGGGTGAGGAGGGGGTCCCCCGTGACGCCTTTGTTGGGAGTGTACTGCGCCAGCATGGCCCTCCAGACGGCACGGTCGTGGGGGTCCTCGTCCGTGCCATCGATGCTGCCGGCTTTGAGGGGGTCATACTCCTTGGCGATGGGCATCCAGTCGTTCATGGTCTAGGAAGGACCACAGCGAGCAGTGATGTAGCACCTACTGTGCGCTGCCCATTGATCCTCACAGCAACCCCGTGCAGCAGGCACCACCACTCACCCCTTCGTTAATAGGGGAGGGAGTGGATTCCCAGAGGCTGAGGCAGTTTAGACCCCAGCGGGTCTAAATGGGCAGTTTAACATCCCTCCAGGTGTCCCAGATCGGAGAGGGTGCAGGCTGGGCTGAGGGACACTTCCCCACACACACCTGTGCATGAATTTCGTGCACCGGGCCTCTCGTTATTTCATAAGTGGGGATAGGATGTGAGAGATGAATGGTGTCATGTGGAGGTGGGCGGTGCAGTTAACCGTTAGAGATAAAGGTGAGGAAAGTGAAAAAAAAAAAAAAATAGCATGAGACTGGGCATCAGGAACACCCAGGTTTAAGACCTCATCCTAAAAAAAAAAAGACTTCATCCTATGTTGGGCAAAATGTAAATCGTCTATAAAATGTAGCTAAAAGCCACTTTCCCGGCGAAGATTAGATAAATATCTCTGGAACTGCTTCACCATTATACATTATTATACAAATAAAGTTGTTAGTCCTCACTGAGTCTAAAAGTACTTTCCCGCCGAGACCGGTTTGGCTCAATGGATAGAGCGTCGGCATGGGGACTGAAGGGTCCCGGGTTCGATTCTGGTCAAGGGCATGTACCTCGGTTGCGGGCACATCCCCAGTAAGGGGTATGCAAGAGGCAGCTGATCGATGACTCTCTCCCATCGATGTTTCTAACTCTCTGTCCCTCTCTCTTCCTCTCTGTGAAAAATCAATAAAAATAAAAAATAAATAAAAGTACTTTCCCGCGCTTCCCACCCGGGTGGACTTAAAGCGGGACCCGCAGGCCTGCCGAGCATGCGCAGTGGCGCCGAGCATGCGCAGTGGCGCCGAGCATGCGCAGTGGCACGCAGGCGCTAAGGCGGAAGTGACCCTGCCAAGACCTGTTCCTCTCAAACACCGAAGCGCCTCCGCCTTGGCCTTCGGCCCCTCGCCTTCCGGGTGGACGTAGAGAGGAAAGGGCAATCTTTCCAACCCAGCTACCGCCCCAGCTCCTCTAGACACAACCCGAAAGATCTCCCCCTTCCCCGCTTTGCCAGGTTCCAACATGGCGGCCCACACGCGCGCGTCCAGTCGGGATTAACTAAGTCCTTCCCGCCAGGTGGGCGCCGCTCCCGCCGCGCCGCGCCCACTCACCTCACCCAGGCCGGGGCTCCCTCTCCCACGGATGCGGCGCCGGGTTCCCAAGGATAAAAGATTTTTGGCGCCGCCTCCGACCGGACCTTTATATTGGCAACAGCAGATTCGCCACGGGCGCTGTTTCCGCTTTTGTTAGGGAAAAAAAAAATGTAATCCCTTATGTTGAGCATCGAAGGCGTGTTATTTACGAGTAGAATGAAATTTCTAATATTCCCCACCTCCTCCACGAAGACAAACCTGTTCAGTTGCACCGTTGAGCTGAAAAACTATCGAATCTGCAATTAGGGGTCTGAGAGCCGCGGGCTTCCTGTGCGCCGCACTGGGCTCCCTCAGCGTCCGGAGGGTTTATTTTCAGATTGCCTTTGACCATGAACTATGGTTTCAACTTTAAATTAGGGCTTCTTCTGGAAATGCCTCTGCTGGTTCGAGTGAAAGTTGGTACGTTTTCCCTAACCCCGTGGTCGGCAAACCGCGGCTCGCGAGCCACACTCCGCTCTTTGGCCCCTCGAGTGTGGCTCTTCCACAAAACACCACGGCCTGGGCGAGTCTTATTTTTGAAGAAGTGGCATTAGAAGAAGTTTTAAGTTTAAAAAATTTGGCTCCCAAAAGAAATTTCAATAGTTGTGCTGTTGATATTTTGCTCTGTTGACTAATGTGTTTGCCGACCACTGCCCTAACAACCCCTTGATTTGGTAAGTTCCCGTTTCACACAAGCCAATCTTGAGAGTCGCCTAGGAATTTGTCACCGTGGGGTTTCCTAATGGGTGCAAGAGGCCAACTCCTTGGAGGTTTGATTTGCATTTCTCCATGATGTTGAGCATCTTTTCATAGGCTTGTGCGCCTCTCAAAGGGTCATCTGGAAACCATCCCCATGACGGCCACATCTAAGGGGTACTCCCCTCCCCCCCCAAAAAAAATGTATGCGCACACTTTGAATGATTATAAAGGCAGTGCTTATTAAAGTAGATTTCACTTTCAAAATTCAGCAATCAGCTGTGGAAGTGGGTATACATTTTTTGAGACACCCTGTTCCAAATAAAAATTATATACAAAATTGCTGAAACCGTTTTTTTGGCTCAGTGGATAGAGCATCGGCCTGCGGACTGAAGGGTCCCAGGTTTGATTCCGGTCAAAGGCATGTACATTGGTTGCAGGCACATCGCAGGTAGGGGGTGTGCAGGAGGCAGCTGGTCGATGTTTCTCTCTTATCGATGTTTCTAGCTCTCTATCCTTCTCCTTTCCTCTCTGTGGAAAATCAATAAAATACAATAAATCAATAAAATAAAAAAATTATAAAATAAAAATTATATACAAATTAATTACTTAATACAACACCTTATAAACCAAGCAGAAGGTCTGGAGGGCAACATGGCCTGCTCTATTAGTCTTGTAGTCTTTTTTTTTATTTTTTATTTTTTTAGTGTGTCTTTATCATTGAAAATATCACAGGTGTCCCTTTCCTCTCCATTGACCCCAACCAACCCAACCCTGCCCCCCAGGCCTTCACCGCACTATTGTCTGTGTCTATGCATTATGGATATATGTATATAAGTTCATTGATTAATCTCTTCCCACCCCACTCCCCTTCCCTCTGAGACTTGACAGTCTGTTCCATGCTTCCATGTCTCTGAATCTATTTTGTTCAACAGTTTCTTTTGTTCATTAGATTCCACACATTGGTGAGATTGTATGGTATTTATCTTTCTCTGACTGACATATTTCACTTAGCATAATAGTCTCTGTCCTTCCATGCTGTTTTTTTTTTTTTTTTTTTTTTTTTTTTTTTTTTTTTTTTAAATATATTTTATTGATTTTTTATAGAGAGGAAGGGAGAGGGATAGAGAGCTAGAAACGTCGATGAGAGAGAAACATCGACCAGCTGCCTCTTGCACACCCCCTACCGGGGATGTGCCCGCAACCAAGGTACATGCCCTTGACCGGAATCGAACCCGGGACCTTTCAGTCCGCAGACTGTCGCTCTACCACTGAGCCACACCGGTTTTGGCCATGCTGTTTCAAAGGGTAAGAGATCCTTCTTTTTCACAGTTGCATAGTATTCCGTTGGGTAAATGTACCACAGCTTTTATATCAACTCATCTACTGATGGGCATTTGGACTGTTTCTAAATCTTAGCTATTGTAAATAGCAGTGCTCTCTGGCCAGCGTGGCTCAGTGGGTGAGCATCCACCTATGAACCTGTGGCTCAGTGGTTGAGCATTGACCTATGAAGCGAGGTCACGGTTCGATTCCCAGTCAGGGCACATACCCCTGTTGTGGGCTCAATCCCCAGTGTGGGGTGTGCAGGAGGTAGCCCATCAATGATTCTCATCATTGAAGTTTCTGTCTCTCTCCCTCTCCCTTCCTCTCTGAAATCAATTAAAAAAAAATATATTTTTTAAAAAGTGATGCTGCTGAAACCGGTTTGGCTCAATGGATAGAACGTGGGTCTACGGACTGAAAGGTCCCAGGTTCGATTCCAGTCAAGGGCATGTGCTTTGGCTGCGGGCATGTGCAAGGGCATGTGCAAGAGGTGGCTGATCAATGATTCTCTCTCATCGATATTTCTAACTTTCTATCCCTCTCCCTCTCTGTAAAAAATCAATAAAATATTTTTTAAAAATCAATCAATCAGCCAAAACCGGTTTGGCTCAGTGGTAGAACATCGGTCTGCGGACTGAAGGGTCCCAGGTTAGATTCTGATCAAGGGCATGTACATTGGTTGTGGGCACATCCCCAGTAGGGGATGTGCAGGAGGCAGCTGGTCGATGTTTCTCATCGACGTTTCTGGTTCTCTCTCTCTCTCCATTCCTCTCTGTAAAAAAATCAATAAAATATATTTTTTTTAAATTTAAAAAATCAATCAATCAATAAAAAAAGTGATGCTATGAATATAGGTGTTAATACATTCTTTCTGATTGGTATTAAAGGAACCACCAAGCATTGGGCACTGAGCTAAGCTCATTTCATTCTCTTAACCACTCTTGTAGGGGTGTATTTGCTGTATTCCATGATGGAGCAGGCATGGACGGTCGGTGGTGACGGGAGGACTACCATAATCTTTATTGCTCCCCCCCAACTCTTTATGGTAAATAAACATTTTGGTTTTATATTTTTAATATATTTGTATTGATTTCAGAGAGGAAGGAAGAGAGAGATAGAAACATCAATGATGAGAGAGAATTATTGATTGGCTGACTCCTGCATGCCCTCCCACTGGGAACTGAGCCCGAAACCCAGGCATATGCCCCTGACCGGAATGGAACCCGGGATCCTTCAGTCCCCAGGCCGATGCTCTATCCACTGAGCCAGACCGGCTAGGGCATAACCGCAGTTGTGTGTGTATTTTAAGTGTGCTCTTGTGCAAACAGGAACTCAAAAATAGTGCCCTGGGTACCACCCTTCCTGAAGCCAGATTCTTTTCTAAAGACCTTCAGGCCAAGACATGAAGTCACGGACTTGTATGCATTTAACCCAAACTTGGAACTTCTCCAAAACCCTTGCTGTGTCCCTTCAGGGTTGAAGAGGTAACAAGACCAGCAAATAATTTAGAAACAGGAAGAGGGCCATATTGAGTGAACAGGCCCTTCAGGAAATAAAGGGTGCCACAGAAGGACATCAGATGTATTGTGCTTGATGTACTGAAATAGGAACCCCAGTGGGCAGCCAGTGGGACTTTCCTGTTGATGGACCAAGTTAGTCCCCAAACACTCATGCTTCCATTTTTATTAAGTGTGACCTACCCACTTCTTTTTGGTTCCCAGTTCACTTT